CTTGCGCTGTAGTCGACGGGAAATTCATTCAAAAACTTGTAAGGACTGTGCCTTAATTGATGGCTGAGTATTCACCCAAACACACGCGCAACATTCTTTTTGTTTGGCTGGCAAACTGCAGGTATTGAGCACAAGCTGTGCTTCTGGCGTGAATTTGAATGGGAAAATTCCAAACGGGGAAGGCAAAGCGCGGGACCATGCACAACTGGTTTGGCAAGGTAGTTTAAGGCTTCGTCCGAATACTGGGCTACGGTCAGCAAAACGCATGAGCTTATCGCCGGCGGCTGACTTCACTTCCCCTAAAGCAACACGTGTGTTACTGCCGAGGCCGTTTACTATAGCCAAGTAACGTGGACACTCAGCCACATAGGCCTCTTTCAAAACGAAGTGTCTGGGTTTAAATACAAACATGGTTTTCTTTTAGACTTTTTACCTTCTTTTGAAACAGCGATTGTATTTGGTTCAATTCACATAAACTAGAGGCTTTTTAGACGCTTGGTGGCAGCAAACATGTTATTGTTTCACAGATGCCTCTTTGCGTCATTGGACCCTTTACTCTAACATAGGCGGTTACGTGGTGCATCCAAACTAATATTTCAACCACAACATGAAAAAGATCCTCCAAATGATAGGAGGTTAGAATTTTTTTTTTTAGGTGAACAATAATTGTATGGAAATTATCACAACTCCAGTGAAAATAACATGATGCCAAAGATTAGTTTACCTTTTCCAAAGGTCAGCTGGCTGGTTCGAATCTGATATAGCAGCGCATGCCGCAACCAAACTATTCATTAAAAAAGATGGAATTTGCGTCGGTGTGATGCAAATTCATTATTGGGTTCTGCCCAATATGTTTTTACAAAAAGTAGCCTCCCAACGGACTAAATTAGTTTGTTGTGATTACACTTTTGGCAAGGTTGCGAGGTTGGACTGTGCCAAAACGCCGCGGTTTTCCTTGTTTTGGCGGGAATTATTCCGACCGTGACGCAGATTAGTATTGTTGTCGTCGCAGACAGACCAAAATGTTGGCACCGTATACAATTTCGCCTGGTGTGAATTGGGATTGTTCCATACGGTTAACCTCAATATCCCTGTGTAAAGTTTTAGAAAGTTGAAAACACTTATGATAAAGCGATCGCTCATAACAGATTTTGAAGGCGCGCAAACCTGTGGGGAAACATTGTTTTATTCACAGAAATGGCGTTTGTTCGGTCACCAACGGACGCACAATCACGAGAATACCTATCCTTAACTCCGTCAGCCCTGTTTCAGTTTATCCATGTTGCTGCCTATACCCTACACTCAAAACAATGAACTCTGACTGAAGTAATATTAAACCAATTAAATGATTAAAGAATACTTAAAACTCAATTTTAGTTGCTTTGACGTTGATATTTGAGTTTAAAAAACATAAAATGTTAAAAGTGAATTATACTTTATTTATTAAGTTTCATCCACACAAAGAAAATGAGTAAAGACAACATCATTTAAAATTGAGTTAATGATACATAAACTTCTTGGTTAACATTACTCAAAAAACAGATTCATCATGTGCGCTTAATTCATTTCAGTACTAAATACTTAAATCTATAACTTGTAGATTGAACGTGAAGTATTTACGTCATAAAAACACAACAAAGCGAAGTAAAGCTGATATCGATAAAAGAGTCCTTAATTAAACGTAAGATTTGACTGGCAAGTTTGAGTAATAAACACGTAAATCACAAAGAGTGGGTACAACTTAAAGTCTTTAAGTCTTCAATGATAAATTCAATTTTCAATCAAAATTGTTTTAATATTAGGTTGTGTGTATTTGACATTAAATTGCTTTTCGTGCGAACATAATATATGGTTTTTTCGGGGAGGGGGGGGGGTTGTATTTACGTCCAACCAACTAGCAGGAGTAGTACGATGAGTTCTGAGTGTTATGGAGATTATATTAAATGGCATAGCGCGGCCATCGTATCCCTGTTGTAAATCAAGCACTTCGGTGAATGCGCGCGGAGTCTTGTCTTTAGAACAGTGAGTAAATGCAAACAATTGCACACGTTCTTTCACCAGTGCTGTCGATATTGAATATGAAAATTCCACTTGGAACTTTGTTATAATGTACCAAGATTGTGTTGTGATAAGTGAGGATACCCTGAAGTATGAAGCAACACTACACTTTGGTAAATCTAACGACGTAGCAGATAATTCCATCCTTTTAAACTATAGATCCCCTTTGTATGTGAGTTGCAATTACTTAAATTATAATAAGCTGAATGCACTTATTTGGGCAAGTGGGTTGTCTTAAATGTATTAAGTAGATTCTAAATGATTGAATTTAATTGATACTTACTTAAAAACTGAAGTGGCGATAACTTAAAATTATTACAAGTTGAAATGACGTAATCGAATTAAGGCAACTTTGTTGTCTGAATTTTATTGAGTAGATCGAAAGATTTTTTTTGAGCGTACATGTCCTGCATCTTTTATTAAGAACAATGAATAATACCCTCAGCATGGATGAATGTGATTGCCACTGAATAATTGAGGACGATCAATCAATGGTGGGGATTAGAATGCATGAGAAATTTGTCGCAATGTATTATTGTGTCCCAGCAAAAGAAGCAGTTGCCAAATATTGTGAAACCTCCTAATAATTATAATAAATTGAAAGGGGAACAACGTGTATTCAAACATCAGGATTTGACGGGCTCACTGATCACCTTTGTAATTGTCTGCACTATAGAGCTACAATTAGTATCAAGTTGCTTCACCTTTAATAACAAACTGGATTTGTTTATGTTTGTTTTTTTCTGGAGAGTGCAGTGCAATGATCAACTTCAATTATATATATATATATATATATATATATATATATATATATATATATATATATATATATATATATATATATATATATATATATATATATATATATATATATATATATATATATATATATATATTTTGTTAAATAAAAATAATACCTGAGTCTTATATAGCGCACGTATCTACCAACAATTAGGTACTAAAGGTGCTGGACATTATGTCTATTATTAAAGACAGGTAAATGAAGTTTATGAGAAATATGAGACGCACTATGTGGCACCTTATATAAGGGGTTTACAAAGGTGCTGGGGCGCATATTGCAGCCACTGCCAGAAACACCGGGGCAAACCCCTTCTCATAGCAATAAGTGTTACAGTACACAACACACGGGATCTATACGGCTTTACGTCCCATCCGAAGGACGAAGCAATAATGGTAAAATGCCTTGCTCAAGAGCACAAGCACCATGTTCCCACGGTCAGGATTCGAACCCATGTACCACGGCACACGAGTCGAACACCGTAACCACTGGACCACAGCACCCCACTAAATAATACTCTTTTGATTTCCTTCCTCAACAACATATCAATTTCTTTTTCTTCGTTCTTTACTTCATGGAGGGTCACATTTTAAAGTGTTCCGAACGAAGTAAGATTCACAATGACGAAACCATTCTGTCTTCTTTTTCAGGTGTTGCTGGTATCGTCGACCGGCCGACAGATTTGTTTGAAGGTAAATAATTCATTGATGAAATCTCCCCGCTTTCATCACAATTTCAGTCTCGAAAGAATATTCTTTTGAATATCAGATTTACAAGAAAACCTAAAAAAAAATTTTTAAAAAAATTCATGGCCAAGAAGAGTTGCAAAACTCCATTAGAATGAACTTTATTCCATAGCTTAATCGAGAAAAGGCTTACAGTGCACATGCATGTGCTGGCATCTCCCGTTCACACAAAGAAGCAATGAAGCGAAACTTAATTGTATCTCTGGATGACTGGTCCGTTTAGTGCAGCACAACCCAACATGGGAGAGCTGTGCCTGACACATTTTGACAAAAATGACAGTTGGACAAAGCAAATAGCCGAATTCCACTTGTACAAGGTTACCTAATCCCACTGAAAATGCAAATTAAGAGAACAGATGCATTACTTAAACATATAGCCAAGATGTGTATCAAGAAGTGCAAGACATTATTAATAGCTGTGCCCGCAACACGACACCAGTCATTATTTGCTTGACAGCAACCATTTTTCACCGCCCTCTCCCAAATCCACGCCCACGCCCCGCAACAGTTGCTGCATTTATCAGCTGCTGCATTCATTACTTAAACATATAGCCAAGAGGTGTACCAAGAAGTGCAAGACATTATTAATAGCTGTGCCCGCAACACGACACCAGTCATTATTTGCTGGACAGCAACCATTTTTTCATCGCCCCCATCCACGCCCACGCCCCGCCCACCTCCCACTCACAACAGGTGCTGCATTTATCAACATCACCCAAGGATTAGGAAATCACAAAATGGTGTTGACTCGTAAAGATCAGCAAAGTACATAGAGATGAAAGATGAGAAAGATTTAAGTGAACTTTTTAAGGTTGGATTTAAAGTGAATTAAAATATTATGGTGAACAAAATCATCATGAAGCAAAGTAAAGACAATTATTACTTGATGTAAACCGTTTGTTAAGATGTCTAAGCATAACGTTAACATGTTATGACCAATTACAATTTTGAATTGATATTTTCTAACTATCGAGATGAGGGTAAACAACAACAAACCATTTGACCGGGTCAACAAAGTGAACATAATTTCATATCTCATATTAATAACTGTTTATTATATCATGATCAAGTTAAGTCAATCATGTAATAACTTTAATTTAGTTCTTAAGATTGTTTTTTTTTTTTTTCATTTCAAACTTATACATTTTAAAATTCATAAAATAATGAAAAAAGGAATCCATATGCATGCTTTAACTCAAACGTTCTTATTTTGGTGTCAATGACTAGAAAAAGCATGAAAGTATAATGATCTGATCACGGATGTAATGCGAGCACTCATTGTTTCTCGGACCAAAATATCGCGTTTACAACTTGCAATAATACAATCAATGTAGGCCTACCTGAAATTAATGAGCATGTCAGACACCCGCGAGTATGGCACTACCTTATGTCTTTGAATTGTGGTGGCCGGATACGTCCATTACCCATCTTGTCCATATCTCCCTCCAGATTTTGATTTTGATGCAGACCACCAAGATAGTAGAGGACCACCCCCTCAAGCAATACACGACAACGGAATGCTTCACCTAGTTCTGCACTGTAAGTTCCAACGCCACTCGAAACCCTTTGTAATCCATGCTTAACTACGCCCTCAGCGGTGAAAATGCTAAACAGTAGGCTTATTATTGAAGGACACCCGGGCATTTACGCACAGGTATGTTTCTCTACTGCGTATAAGGTTGCGCACGTTAATTTTGGGACCATTAAAAATGGTACGCGTACGGAATACGTAGCTACATTATTGTGGTTATTTCACCGAACCAACATACACATCTCAATCTTTTTGATGTGAAAGCACATTGCCCATAATGTGCCAGATGAAATAAGCACGCAAAATGGAGATTTATTTAACAAGAAACTTGTTTTTCTTCCAAACTGCACACGTATCCCTATAGTCTATGGAACAGGCCTGCGATTTAAAAAGCACGAGTTTTCTAGCCCAGGTTGGACGACGTCTTCATTACATTATGACTGACGAGTTTTCATGACGTTTGTTATCTTATAAAAACAATGTTCTCTCGGCATATAATGGATCTTGATCCAAAACTCTGTCGTGATGCAGTTTGTTTGATGTATGGATGAGTTTGAAAGTTTCAAGTAATGCGAACTGAACATAAGGTCGACAATATACTATTATACTTCGAAAGAGGCACCAGATCGCTTAGTAACTGAGCAAGCGACGCCCACGTCAGTACAGAAAAAGGCTTGTACGAAAATGCAAACCGTGAAATTTGAAAATAAGTCACAAACCTGTTGACATTTGCCATAAGAACGTTTCACATCGAGTGGCATCAAAGTAAACAATTCCTGCAATAGTGCAATGAATGTGTTACACTTTTCCATATACGACTACACTGCAAAAACTGCAGTGTTAAATTTAAACCATTGGTATCTATATAGGACAATCTGGTGTTAAATTTTACTGGTGTTATCCTATATAGATGCCAAATGGTGTTAAATTAACACTACAGTTTTTGCAGTGTATGTTCCTCATATTATGCACCATTAATAAAATATCAATTAATCAAAGTTGGGGTTGAACGGTCCATGAGATGTTTTTTCTTAATGACATATTTTGTGCAACATACTCCTCTTAAATGTATGAAAATTATATGACATTCCTCTTTGGTTAATTAATTTTTCAAAGTGCACTTCTTTAAACTTTTTGAATGTCCCATGTTTTTCTTGACAACTAAGGGTGTTGTTGCTGTGATGTCATTTCAGGAAGACACTGTTTAGTTTAGGGGTTTTCTGCTCAAATTGTGAACCCAAAAATTTGCTCATTGAAAATATTTGTGAGAAAAGTTTGCTCATTGCCTCACTGTGAACAACGAATCACCAAACAAAAGAAATTTACGACAGCAATATATCCAAAATTCTGACTTTTTTTGGTGCTGAAATTTGGAGCTGTATCATTGTGGTTTCTGTGTGAAATGACATCAAACTTTTGCTCACGAATATGGAAATTCGCATTAGCATAGCAACCAAAAAGGCACCACATTACGTGAAACTCCCATTTGCCAAAACCCCTGAACTGTACCTACCGATTTCACTGTGACTCTTATCAGCTGTTATCAGTAAAGTAATTATAAGATAAACACTTACCCTGGCACCCACTTCCCCAGGGCCAGTAACCATGAGCTGAGGTAATTGGCCTATCAATTATGGCATGCACATCTGGTAGCCGGGACTACTTGCAGTGTGTGTGCCTTGAAGAGCATGGCTGAAGTCGGACTGTTTCTTATTTGATATCTCGAGATATATTTGATCGATTTTTATGATTCAAAGTTGCTCACATAATAACTTTTGACACTTTTCCAAATACTTTACATTATAAACAAGAACCTAGAAGACTTTGGTAGATATTTTTTGTCAGTAAGCTCACAGGCAGAGGCACCATACACCACCTGTTCACGGCTCGTTAACTCTTGATCAGATAAGAGAGATCGCGTTGAAAGCTGCTTAATCTGAAATCGGTAGGTACGACCCGAGTTTGTCATAGGCAAACTCGGGTCTAGCTCAAATGGGAGATTTACGTAATGAAAAATGCCCTTTGAATTGGCAACACGAAAATTGAAAAATAAGGTTAAATGGGACACAAACATGCATATCCGATTGGGTTACATTAAAACATTAAAACATTGCATGAGCACTTTAAGGATAGGCCAACGTGTTTAAATGAGAAACGAGTATCGAATCCCGTCAACAGTTCTGCGACTACAATAAAACGGGGTCGATTCCATTAAAGGGGCACATCGTCCTGAAATCGCCGAAAATGTTATGTTTAAGATTGTTTACTTATCCTATTTCAAAAGGGATGGGTGAAGGGAAACTATAATCCTAATAGTTTTTGAGGAAAGACGTATACGTATTTCCAGCCGTATATAAACCTTATACATTTAATGAGTTGGGGGGGGGGCAAAATGTCCCTGCCCCGGTCTAAAACTGAGAAATCGAGAATTTGTTCAGAAATACAAGAATTTTTTGGGAAAAATATGTTTTGCCCCCCTCTAGAAAAAATCCTGGCGACGCCGATGCTCCCAGGAAACCTGAAATGCCGCGGTAATTTGATAAATCTAAAATGATACCGGATGGTTTTTCAATGTTAATTAGCCAACATATTTACAAAACATAGAAACACAAACGTTTTCGTAGGAACTTGTGCGAATCGTGACTAGCACTCAAATAGATGGATCAGTTTTGAGAGTTAAAATTTTGACCACCGAAATTTGTTCTCGCAAGAATAACACCCAAAAGAATGGCACATTTTTAAAGTAGGGTTGCGTGGACGTTTATATTCTACTTTTAAATGCTGTTTCCAATTCCAACTTACTATACATCATTCCGCAAAAAACGCGTTTTGTAGCCCAATTTGGGCGCTTTCCAGGACGCATGTCCCAATAAACTCTGAACCCTGGTTATCTTCATATTTTGGCACATGAACTTATTTTCGCTTTTTTTTTAATGTGATGACCAGATCTTTCACAGAAACTTATACGAGAAATGGAAGGCGAGGAGGAGACGATGCTCAACCAGCGACAAGGCCAGGTGCTGCACGACAAGATCACGGGCTTCTACGATGAGATCCTCAAGCATCCGGCGCTGAACAGCAACCGGATTGCCTTCAGTCAGAAGAAGCCGGATTTCGCCGAGTACCGGCCGGATCACCCCGGAGAGGCCTCGCCGTCTCATCGGCGGGTGAGAACGAAGAACACTCCCCCGATTAATGCATGCCTTATCCCCCGACACCAGGGGATTCATTACAAACAAAGTTGTATGTGTCAAATTGCTGATGGACCTATTGCAAAAATATTTTGGTACTGGTAGGACTATATACGAGATACGGATTATATACTTAGTGTCAGTTGAGCTGTAAGCCTGTAGGCTTTTCTTGGTTCTGTAAATTGCTTTTCAATTTGTTGCCTCCGATAAACAGGCTAATATTTTCACCGGAGGTGGTCCCCTTTTCGTCTAAGTGCCACCCACCTTAGTTTGCCCCACATAAATCTTAATTTTCTCATTACTGAATGTTGAAGTTTAGTTCTTCGCTTCGGAGTTAAGGATGCCACATACAATAATCTACATGTCCAGGACTCCACCTTAGAGTGCTCATTCTTATGCGTTGTTCTGTTGGTGTTGTTTTAAAAGTAACTATTTTGTGGATAAGAACTGAAGGTTTGCATGGCTAAAAGCCAACTACTAGAGAGAGATTGTGGTTGCAACATGTGACAAGAAATGTCTTGTGAGTTTACAGGCAGTTCTGAAATGAGCCAGCTCTCGCGAAAAGTGGGCAACTGGTGAACAATAATGTCAAACAGAACCGAATAAGCCTCTGTACTGATGACGTCACACTTTGTTAACGCGCACTTTCATATGGAGCCAGTGGGGGCCCACGGTGTGAGGTCATCAGTACCGAGACTTATTGGTAATATTATATAAGGGGTAAAAGGACAAAAGTATTTAGGGTCAGATTTCCTTGACTCTTTGCAGGGCAAACGTGCAACTGGCCTTCTGACCGAGATCTGCCAAAGCGTCCGCGGATGGGAGCAAGAAACCATCGGCGTGACGAGGAACCATGAAGTGGTCAACCTGTATCCAGATCAGCATTTTTTTACCACCAGGTGTCTGAGTAACGGGCAGAGCTGCAACTACATCAACGATTGGTAAGATAGTCTTAGATGTGGCTGCTGAAAGGGGATTGAATAAGCCATTTGCGAGTTATAAATTTGAATAAAATCTGGAACGCTGACTTATTCATCCAATGCTTTGCACGTTTTAACTTTGCATTCTCTCGACCAAAGAGACAGCAACTTTAACACGTGATTCGAGGCATGCCTTATGCTAGCAACCCCCAGCTCCGGAATGGTCTGGTGTCTGTGTGCCATTCTCACCCATTGTGAACAATGTATTTGTGCTGAGCGTCTCTTACGTATCTATGCAAGAGCTTGCCCCGAATCATGTGAATAGCAACAGTGTCTTTGGTCTGGAGAATTCAAAGTTATTATGTGCCAAGCATTCTGAGCAAGTCAGTGCACCAGACGTTTTTCAAATTTAAATTAAAAAGGGCATAGGTCACTCGCAAATGGTTTATTCTTGCTACTTCACCAAATATATCGTAACTATTAGCATGTTTGTTTCGGCAGCTGTGAACTTTGGTCAGAAGCTTTTCTTAAATCTATCACGATTTATTGGTCAGAAGCTTTTCATAAAATTCATCAATACGACTTGAGATTGTTCAGAATTGAGGCAAATTGTGCGAATCCCACTGCTGCCACCAGAAAAAAAATGTGTATCTGCAATAGCCACCATTTTGAGTAAACGACGCCAATTGGGGGTACACCAAACCCGTGAACTCAAAGTTAATCATAGGTTTACATTTTAATATGATTAAAAAAAATACAGTTTACAATCTTTGGGATTGAAGTAAAGTTTCCTAATTGCTTCAATAATGATATTTCCATAGTGTGTACATGTACTCAGAAAATGGCGCCGTTATTATCTTCATACAGGACGGTGACTTCGGAGTGTACTTCGCGCTCGTCGTGGACGATTGCCTACGTCGAGGTGTTAGACGGTTCGAGTATTGGCTACGACTGGGAATGGATTGCCATCGATACATGCTGCAGCTGTGCCGCTAGCGCGTAATATCAATCATTGAGGAAGGTACTTGTAGAATGAGACAAAAGATTTGGGGATGATTTTATATAGCCTAGATCCCCAGCCCTGGCCCGTAAAACTTTCTCTCGGAGGAAGGGTTTGATTTATATTTACGAACATCACTGACTGATGAAGCTTATTCACTCAAGATGCCTTAATCGTGGCTCAGCTTTATTTGTGGTTGTAAAAAAAATATATCACGCCCACAACATATTATTCCTATGTGTATCACCTGTGATCCTACCAGTGCATATGACGTTATCAGTTTGTTGTACTTTATCTGAAAAAAAAGACTAAGTGTGCAATTTAAAATGTGACAAGTGATTAACAAAACGTACATTCATGACACTATTAAAGGATTTCGAAGACTAACGTTTAAGAAATACGCTAAATTGTAAGCACTGGACTACTTTTTGAATTGTTTTCTCTAGTTGAGTTTCCGCAAGTAGGATATTGTTGTGTATAAAAGACAAAATCAAAAATTATATTATACCGAATTCTGGATGAGTGACTACTCTTCTCATTGTTTTCTCGCTGAGTGCAATGACGAGCAGACATGAATAGTATTTATGACAGCTGTAATATTTTAAGACGTGTTATTTCAGAGTTTAATTCTGGGAAACTGAGACTTAATATCAGCAATTAATTCAAAAAATTTGCAATTATAAATATGCTTTTAAGAGACCAAACGCGACCGCATATCCCCCGTGGGATTGCAGCGGACGGAAGACTAAGGAGTAAGGACACCGCTTAGAAATTTGAAAGTAAAATTATGTTTTTTTTCCATGCCGTTTTTATTGTCTCTAAAATTTCAGCCGATTTCATACCTCAGTCTGTCAAGGGAAACCGCTGAATTTTATTAGGCCTATATCCACTTTTGCATGCTATACATACACTCACTGCTTGTGTTCCCGAATACAAATTCACGAGGAAAAAATATATAGAAAAGAAAATTTAAATAAAAGCTGGCAACCCTCAACCTTTACTTGGGAAAACCGCGCGTTGACGTTGTCGTACCCTTGGGAACTCGACTGAGCCTGATGTCTGAAGTGCGATAAGTCAAATTTGTGCAGGTAGCAGACCAGTAAATAAACCTCCATAGACCCCAATGGTAAATGCTCCCACTTCAAAAATTCGGGAAAAATACTCACAACTCTCCAAGGTGTTCGAGACACACATCAAATTAAAGCTTATTTCATCATCTTTCATTTTTTTTTCAATTTTCGGGGGGTCAACTGATGACTTTTAGGAGAAATTTCCATCTGAAGATGATCACCCCTGAAAATAGTCCTGAAGCCCATCGCCATTTTGAAAAACGATGCCTACACTCCATTGCAAAATAGAGCGCTTTTAGGGTCCAAATTACATCCAAATTACACAGAACTGTAAGCTCCCAGTCCTGTGCACGGTTTCCACCCATATTTTTTACAAATCCTCAAGTTCATGGCCCACAGCATGCTCAAACACCGAAGATTTTGAGGGCATGCAAATCGTGATTTGGCCGGCGCAGGCAATTTCGGACCGATTTACTGGTCTGCACCCTGCAGGCAGGAGAAAGCGGGGGTTAACAATGACGCAATATCTTGTGGTTTTTTGTTTGTTTATAGTCCATATTATTGTCCAGTGAGTTGTGCATTATCGTGCATCACAAAGACCTATACTTGGCAGTTACCTTTAAACAAAATAAAGACCCGTTCTCTGGAGAATAATGTAAATTCAATTCTTATTGAGACAAATAAATAAACACCGCAGAAAAAGAAAGTCCACACTCATTGGAGGGGTCATAATTGTTTAATCTGATCGTCTTATGATGACGTCATTTATATAGGCCTTTGGGGAATTGTGTTATCCCTGTTTGATACCGAAGACTGTAAATTGTCCGAGATTGACATCGGTTTATGAAAAATGATGCACTTTGAAAAGTTGCAGATTTAAAGATTACGCGAGGAGGAATTGCTGAGCGCAAACTAATATGCCCGTACTTATTGGCCCCTATCGACTGCACAGTGCCCGAACAAAGCGCGGGTAATTCAATTCGCGTGCTCAGGGCGGATCCAGGAATTTTTGCAGGGGGGGGGGGGGGGTTCATCAGCAAAATAATCTGAAATGTAGACAGGTTTTTTCCTCCGGACACTTGGCCTCCGTAAAATCAAAAACCTGTGGGGGGGGGGGGGGGGGGGGTGTCTGGGGGGGCTGGTTCCATATTTCAATAGGGGGCGCTGTTCAAATTCGACGATTATTAACAATAGATTACAGAATGGTGCACAAATACCCCCTATCTAAGCTGCCTCTGTCCGTATTTGAACAGGCGGACATTATACCAGTTTTATAATTTGGGGGGGGGGGGTCAGAGCAGGGGGGGGTCGCATATTTTTAAAGAATTTCTATGAATTGTTTTTGGGGTTTTTTTGGACAGAGCTGTGGTTTTTTTGTTCCCCACCGGATCTGCGCCTGGTGCTCCCATGCATACAAGCAATGTGCGATCGGTATTCCCTGCCGTTCGTTTCGGGCAATGTAAAACATTGTCACGCAGCAATTTTCATTTTAAGTGAAAATTGCTAAATTTATAAATTTGCATTCCGAGATTGACATCGGTTTATGAAAAATGATGCACTTTGAAAAGTTGCAGATTTAAAGATTACGCGAGGAGGAATTGCTGAGCGCAAACACATATGCCCGTACTTATTGGCCCCTATCGACTGCACAGTGCCCGAACAAAGCGCGGGTAATTCAATTCGCGTGCTCAGGGCGGATCCAGGAATTTTTGCAGGGGGGGGGGGGGGTTCATCAGCAAAATAATCTGAAATGTAGACAGGTTTTTTCCTCCGGACACTTGGCCTCCGTAAAATCAAAAACCTGTGGGGGGGGGGGGGGGGGGGGGTGTCTGGGGGGGCTGGTTCCATATTTCAATAGGGGGCGCTGTTCAAATTCGACGATTATTAACAATAGATTACAGAATGGTGCACAAATACCCCCTATCTAAGCTGCCTCTGTCCGTATTTGAACAGGCGGACATTATACCAGTTTTATAATTTTTTTTTGGGGGGGGGGGGTCAGAGCAGGGGGGGGGTCGCATATTTTTAAAGAATTTCTATGAATTGTTTTTTGGGTTTTTTTGGACAGAGCTGTGGTTTTTTTGTTCCCCCACCGGATCTGCGCCTGGTGCTCCCATGCATACAAGCAATGTGCGATCGGTATTCCCTGCCGTTCGTTTCGGGCAATGTAAAACATTGTCACGCAGCAATTTTCATTTTAAGTGAAAATTGCTAAATTTATAAATTTGCAACTTTTCAAACTGCAACATTTTTTCATAAACAGTTGCCAATGTTGGGCGATTTACAGTCTTTGGTGGTAAACTATACCAGTTTTATTTGTATTTGTTTTTTTTTGGGGGGGGGGGCGTCAGAGCAGGGGAGGTGGGTTCGCATATTTTTAAAGAATTTCTATGAATTGTTGTTTTTTTTTTTGGACAGAGCTGTTTTTTTTTGTTCCCCCACCGGATCTGCGCCTGGTGCTCCCATGCATATACAAGCAATGTGCGATCGGTATTCCCTGCCGTTCATTTCGGGCAATGTAAAACATTGTCACGCAGCAATTTTCACTTTAAGTGAAAAGTGCTAAATTTATAAATTTGCAACTTTTCAAACTGCAACATTTTTCATAAACAGTTGCCAATGTTGGGCGATTTACAGTCTTTGGTAGCAAACGGGGTATCAAAATGTAGCTAACAACATTCCCCCAAAGGTCTATAATATAATGGACGTCATTAATCATTATAAGATGTTCAGATTCAAAATTATGAATCCTCCAATGAGTGTGGACGTTTTTGCGGTGTTTATTACACGCACACAACAGCCACCATTATCCTAAACATTATGGTCTCAACATCTGTTAATAAAAAATAACAAATATGAATAACCGTTGTTCTTCATTAGGCCTACGTGAATTATTTATATTTTATTGCAAGTTGTACAAACTTCCTTCATATTGTCTGTAAAGGCTGGTCACTTTACAAAGAGGATGTAAAATACAGTATATGTTTCTTCTGTTACATGTGTGTTTTCATTTTTAATGAAATAAAATGTTTCAAGTTGTGGTCCCGTTCTTCTGATTTGATTTCACATGGTTAATCCGCCTAAAACCACCAAAAAAAAACCTCCAAATATACAGGGTGAGTCAAAAAAAGGAAAACCATTTGTTTTAATGAAGTTCTGCATGTAGCACTTTCAAAAGCTAGGATATGAAAGCCCAGTTAATAAGCTTTCTTCTGGTACAAGAATCATTCAAATCACCTGTGTACTTTTCAGTTTACGGAATTTTAAACACAACCACCGTTTTAAAGTTCTGCCCACGGATCTCAAAATAGGTAAGTGTTCTTTTAGCAAAACCAAAACAATTCACATAAGGATGTGTGTGAATTGTTTTGGTTTTGCTGAAAGAACACACACCTTTTAAAAGGGCCTTACTGGACATTTGAAAGGCCTTACTGAAGCTTTTCATGAATAATTAACCCCTAAGCTACTCGGTTAAAACTAAAGCATTTTTTTCATTGCTATCCTAAAACTTGGTGCGCTGTCAAAAAATCAGCAAAACTGTGCTTTTAGGACTAAAATTATCCAATCCAAGAAAATGTCAGCGATTTCAGGACGATGTCACCTTTAAAGAAGTTGAAGTTCATAGCCAAATGTTTATTCTATTTTTTTGCGACGAGCTGAACATATTGCCAAGGTGAATTCGTACCGTAGTAGTCCTTGGAAAACTTGCGTACGTCTGCCATGCATTCTGAGCTGTGCTTGTCTGGTATCGAACTCAATGCGGATAAGACTCCCATGTAGCCTGACAAAAGAAAAGACAGCCGTTGGTTTACGGCGTTTTGCCTGTTTAGAATTTAGGCCTATTATTGTAAAGTCGGCGTATGCAAAGGACTGTATATTTTCTTGTTATCCCAGCATTGTCGAGATTTCGACAAAGAGGCTTTTCTTTTTAAGCTATCCTCCTACGCTTAAGCTTAGAAAAGAGCACGTATGATTCATTGGAATACCCAAACAACACTTTAAAATGGTCAATATGCCATCCTCTATAAATAAATATGGCAAATTTACATCAAATACATGTACATGTTTAACAAATTTATATCAAATTTCGGATTCCCTATAAATTCTTGAAGGAAAGATAATGATCAATAGGAACTTGGAATGCAATGACAGTCTTTACATAGTAATGGTGTAATTTAGGCTATGCTAGAATACTTTCAAAAGCTGTGTCGGATTAAGGGTTCCTATGGGCTCTAGACACACTAGTCCGTAGGCTCTACGGGCTCTCAATTTTAAGTCGATGCTAAATAGCTATACAAAGCAAGCCAAACTATTAGCTCTAAAAGAACGACAAACTTTACACGTAAAATGTATACGTACATGTTCATGCGGCTAAGTCAGCGTCAGTTGGTGAAATCGAAAATTCTGAGAGAGACTCTCAAAACTTGTCTTGTGTGTGGGTGTGTGTGTGTGTGGGTTTTGGGTGTTGGTCATGTGTTTGTTTGGGGGTTTTTTTGGGGGGGGGGCACATTGCAGTATTTTCGTAAGCCCTAAAATTGTTCGTATTGGATATTCCGGGCCTGCTTAAAGGGCAAAGTCCATTGCAGCCATTTTGAATTTGATGACGTCACTTGGCTCAAACCCAACAGCGACCCGTTGGCCTACCCATGGACCAATGTCACGGGCTGATCATAAAGTGCCCTCTTTGGACAATTTTGAGCAAAGGCTTCACTTCATGAGAAGACCAAGTCGACGGTAATACTAGTCTGAAAGTTCGCCCCCTGGTAAATGAATGGCGGCACGACTCCGGCACCCGTGAATAGGAAAACTAACGTGTGAAAATTTTAGAATTTGCACGAATTTTTTTTTTCAATGACTTAAGAAAATCACCCTAAAGTCCTTTGTCAAGTTATTACATGTAGCTTATCAATTTGAAACTGATAAATTGCCTAACATGACAGAGAAATATCGTCATGAAAATTGACCTCTCACTTCCGAAAATCTCAAACACATGTGGACTAGTGAAACTTACGGATGCATATTCCTAAATCGTTGTACGTAGATGAGAATTTCTGAAATTTGAGGTGGTCATTAGGTGAAAAAAATGAAGTGAAATTGAAGACAAACATGTCTCTATTTTTTTTCTATAGCCAATGTGACGTCTTCACCCATAATTTTTTGTATTTCTGAGCAAGTTTCTTCACCGGTTGAGGCCGGTGGTAGGTACAAGAAATATGATGCAATTGCTAATACGCATGACAAATGACCTTTTACCTTCTGCATCCTCGTCCGAGAAATCGTCCGTAGCCAGTTCGTGTTCCTCTATCTTGACGACGGTGAAGCCGTTGTCTGCAAAAAGTTCCTTCACTTCGTCCAAGGTCGATTCAAGAACGACATTCTTGGATTTTGCGTCCTGGAAAAAGGATTGATCACTGTGTTCAAAATGGTCAACCTTCATCTCTTCAGTACGAAGCCTTAAATAGCGATCAAGAAAATGAAATAAAAGTGACACTCTTTGTAGTTTTTTAAGCATCATATTACTTAGTTTAGATATTCTATTGTTTTTTCTTCGATCGACTGCATTATACATGTTTATGTAGTTTATACCACTCGCACTTAATTTGTTGGAAGCGGACGTAAAAATGTTTCAACTTTTGCGACTACGCATCAGCGCGAAGACTTGCCATGACGTCTCAAATTTGCTTTCTCCCCTTCGCTTTTACGCCAAGAGCCGGCTTTTTGACGAAAATGCCCATCTATTCATAATTTTCAGTGAGAATGTCTTATTTTCAGTGAGAATGTTTTATTTGACAGTGACACGCAATCTTGCCTTCCCACTCCAACAGTCGGCATTATACGCACGCGAGTAAACACCTATCTGGAACCGCCTTATGTCCTTTCGTTGTATATAATTATTTATTTAGATCATTGGTTTTTTACATGATGTCCAAAACTTCACCAATTCATGGACTCACAATTGTCCTCTAAAAACCAAGGTCTAGGCCTACTACTGGATGCTTAAACATACTCACCTTGACATACTCGCCCCACTTAGGGTGTCCCCGTAAGAACGCCCCAGCTTGGGCCGTCCAGCCGCGGCTGTCCCCGAAGTAGGTCAGGTACAACTTGCCTCCAGGCTTGGTACAGTCACACACGTTCCTGATGAATTTCCCGTAGTCGTCAACGAAATGCAGGACGAAGCCGCTCATGACAACGTCGAATTGTTCCCGCCATTCCTTGCCGTGATCACCCAGATCCACGCCGAAGTCTGCTATCTCGTAGCTGACGTTGGGGACGGTGTTTGCCTGCCTCGCCTTCACAATGGCTGCGGCGTCATTGTCAACCCCTGTCCAGAACAGTACGCGGTATATAGTAATAAATGTAATGAAAGTGATAAATGCAACATAGTAATCTTCCTTTAAGTTGAGGCAGTCTAGTTTCATTCAAACTTTTTTAAGTTTGATAAAAATGTGCTTAGTCAAATATACTTCTCTACACAGCATTGTGAAAAAAACGTAAGTTGCAACAAACTCACTGCCAATTAAATCACAGAATTAGGGCCTATACTAAAAACGAAAATTCAGAAACAACATTTGTACATAATTATCACAGATAAATTTGCAAGAAACCCCAGTCTCATTCCAAACACGCGCTCCTTATCCACCCTTACCTTTCCTCGAAATTTTGGGCAAATGCACAAATCAAAGAAAACTTCCAAGAAAGTGGCTTATATGCATTGAGTGCTGCGTTGAAGGGTTGTACTAAAATAATTCGCAGATCTCTTTATGAAATCTTCGGATCAGTTGAACAGCTTTTCAGTTGATATGGAACTGGATGCCTTGTGATCAACTCGTGAGTCATGACGGACTTGCGATGACTTGGATCCAGCACTTCGGCAGTCGAGTCAATCACAAGTCCATCACACGTCATGTCCATCACCAGTCCATCACAAGTCCATCACATGTCCACCACAAGTCCCGGTTACTCGTGGCTTGACTAACTTGTGGAAGGACAAAATGTACGTGTTGGTGGACTTGTGATGCACTTGACAACAACTGCACTGCTCCGTTAATCAGAACAATCTGACCCACCTACTATCGAGTGCACCTTGGCAGACAGCTCCGTCATAAATTCCCCCTCGGAGCACCCGACGTCCATGAGTCGGTACTTCTTGTCCAGTTCCATCCCAGCAATGAACTTCTCCTTGTAGGCTACCTTGCACTGGTACAGCTTACTGTTCATCCAGTCATACTCCTCTTCCTCATTCCCGTGATGATGAAAATGTTGCTCCTGCTCAGGTTCCGCCATGTTGCTTCTTTGATCAACACGGGTGCCCTGTTAGGACGCAGGTAAAGTGTAGTTAAGTACACTCTATCTATTTAGTTCTTAAACGGCATTTTATCGTTTCAAAATGACTTCTCCAACCTCAGGCAATTCAAGTATTTTCCCCCTAGTTTTCAAGATTTTCAACCTTTTTTCACAGTAAATACGACGGCCTACCCGTTTTCCAGGTGATGCCTCGCGAATCAACACAGTGTTGTGCATTCACTGTTTATCACGCGTGAGATGGCAACACCGATATCTTAATTTTTTCGTATAACTGTCGTAATTTTAACCCACACTTTCCCTCTAAATTTGAAATAATGCCCCTTCCCGCGACATTCCTGATGCTTTTCTTATATATAGATAATGTGTCCTTAAATAGGAAGAACAATTGATAGGCGCATTACTTAATATCGGACTTGTGGTTGACTTGACTGATTACAGCTCTTGACATAGATAAATTCTCATCTAAATTCATGGACATTTCTGTGTCACAAAAGTACATTTTGTATATAAAGAACTGCATCTTGATATTATATCAAATAAAGTTAAGACAAATTGTCCTTCATGTGTTAACAGGCGCGGTTCTAGAGCCAATATTTTTGGGGGGGGGGGGGCTAGCAGGGTGGATCCAGATTTTTTCCGGGAGGCGTGCTGAAATGTAGACTAGTTATTTTCTCCGGACACTTAGGCCTCCGAAAATCAATAGGGGGGGGGGGGGCCTCGTGCCATATTTTCAATGGGGAGCGCTGATAAAATCCTACAAACAGGCATACTGTATTTAGCTAAAAGTGTACAAATGTACCATTCTCACGACTATTTATTTAGGGGGAGACCGTCGCGTTCACATGTACGTCACATTCTTAAATTTGGCTAGTGCAAATTTTGGTTATGGAATTGGGGGGGGGGGGGCTAGAACCGTCACTGCATGTGTAAGCCTACCTACTCCCTCACCCTCCGAATTCGCAATTTCAACCTCTCATTGAGAATCTGACTTCCACGGGCAATCGACGGCGTCTCATCCTCTGAGATTACATTGGTTGTCATGTGCCACGTCCTTCCCGCCCGTCACACGTGATCTGATTGGTCAGCACGTGCACACGAATCCGGGATAGCAATGCACGTATAATTTCAATGAACTCGAGGTCATCAAATCAGGAAGCTGCTCTGCTAGTATGACAAAATTCTGACTTAAAAATCCGATCATGCAGGAAGGAATAGACATGGAGGCAGTTCATCGGATAGCATGCACGCAGTGCGTCACAGAACAAAATCAGCCAAAATTATACGGCGGAAATTTTGAGTAAGACCCGGTGCTATCGCGATAGACCCCTGCATAACAAGTGCGAATAGACATTATACAACACACACGTTATAGTTGAACTCCCCGCATAATTGTCATGCTTTCACATACACACAGTACAGAAACACTGTAGGCCTACATACCTTTTTTAGAATGTAATAACCCTCCTTAACGACGGCAGCCTAATGCAACGGCAAATGCAAGATTTGAAAATGGTGAAAATGTCCACGAGTTACATTGGCACACCCAAGCTGTGGTAACCTATGGACTACACCTGCGCCTTCGTACGTGCACGAACGAACGGGCTCGCATCGTTATACAGTCAAGGTTAACCTTCAGGTCGGGTGCATTCACAAAAATGACCTGCACACAAAAGCAAAAAGGTGCTGGATTGTCGTTGCCGATATTTTCCCTAAACTCGTTCCTAGTCTCTCGAGTATAGGGACGGTCACAGTCATAAACAAAATATGTCAACCAACAAAGTAGTTTGTAAGGCAATTGGCGGATCTAGGGGGTTCGGGGTCAGTGGCGTTTCAAGCTTTTGATGGGGGGGGGGGGGGGGCAACCGCACATGCACGCACATCCGCGCCGATTTATGTTTTTTCTCCTGACACGTACTTGGCCTCCGTAAAATCAAAAAAATCATACTGGAAAATATATGCCAATTTTCACGGCGCATTATGGTTTTGGATTTTCTTTTTTGTTTTGGTTCATGTCAGAACCTCTAACCATTATGGAAATAGGCCCTATAGTTGTTGAAAAAAAATATCTTTCACAAAAATCAGCCATGGGGTGCAAGCTAGCTAGGTTCCCCCTCTGGACATGCCACTGTCGGGGGTTGTAACCCCCCTCCCCCCCCCTCTCCCTCCCCGTTCAGCCGCTGACTAATGATGCTAGTAAAATGTGGCCAAAAATAATAAATGGAAACTGAGCAGTGCCGTCACTAGGGTTACACTTCTGGGAGGAACCTCAGAGTGCACAATTTTTAAAGGTGGGGAGGGGGCACTGAAGGAAAATGATACATTTTTCGTTCAATTCAAGATTTTAAATGGGGGGGGGACACCCGGGGGCACGGACATCCGCTGGGGGAGGGGCGGGGCATGTTCCCCGTGCGCCCCTCCCCCCCCCCCCCCATGCATCCCCTGTACTACGCCACTCGCTCAAACTTCCTAAATTTATTCTCAAATTGCCTAATAATGCAGGAGAAAGCATATAGACTATGATATGCGAGCAGATTATGCAAATTAACAACACTGCATCTTGACCTCCAGATTCTGACATTCAGCAGGCGCCTATATAAGCTTCTATCGTGTCTTCGGTAACCCGATGTTGTATAAACATGGCAGCTTTTGACCAATCAACAGCTTTGGCCGAATTTCTGTTCTAAGTGACATCACAACTTCTAAAGTCGGCACCGATTGGCTGGCGCGCAGGGTCGCATAAAGTTGGAATTCACGAATATAATATCAGACGTTTCTACTGTGGTGGCTCTCCTGCAGAGGCGAACGTCTGATTTTTAGACTAGAGAAACTGAGCATCGTAGATTTCGAAGTTTTCCGGGAGTGACATGCCCCAAGACCCCCCCCCCCTTCGTGGGCCGTGCAGTAGCGTAACTACGGGGGGGGGAGGGGGGAGGGGCAAGGGCCCCCCAGCGGAGGTCCGTGCCCCCGGGTGCTTCCCCCCCCCCCCATTTGAAATCTTGAATTGCACACAAACAATACGTTGCCCTCAGTGCCCACCCCCCTTAAAAATTGGTGCACCCCCAGCTTAACCCTGGCGCCGCTGGTACGATGGGGTGGTGAGTCCGCATCAGTGTTTACCACCACAACTTGAAAGAAAACAAATGGAATGTCTGAAGTGATAATTGTGTTGCTTTGTTGAAGTATGCGGGAAGCTTCCATTGTTGACAATCCTGTTTCTCCGTTTTTCTAAGTAATTATTTTTAATAGGATTTTACATGATGAGAATAATACATATTACGTGATGAAAATAATATTGTGAATACATCGGTAACTTCGGTAAAAAAAAAATCTATGTAATCAGTGGGATAAATAATCGGAGGAGAATCGCCATTGGCGTCCCCCGCCCAAAATATTTAGGAGACCCCCCCCCCCCCGGTACCCGGGATCGCGGCCCATGCACACAAAGCAAAGTTGTTACATTCAAATTAAAGAGGTTTTCCACTTTTGGAAAAAAGTTGCAGTTACACCATGTATGTTAAATCCCGGGACATACCGTTATTTCCTTTTACCGTTTTGGATTTCCTCAAAAACAAAAACAGTAAACGCACGGTTGACCGTTTTTTCGTTGTACAGTTTTGTAAAACGGTCAAACGGTATTAGGTCACAAAAACAGTGACCTTTTTGTTGTTTTTCTTGATTGTTGAAAGCGATAAATGGTTAGTTGCTTCATTTCAGAGTGTTGTTTTACAAGAACATGACAATGAAAAACGGTCAATAGTCCTGTCGACCATTTTTTGATTTAGGTTCGGCAATTAAGCAATGCACCTATGAATGTTAATGCGTCCTCATGGGATCGAGTCATTGCCTGGGACCCAAATTACCCTCCTCACATTTCGTTCTCACGACATAGTTTTCGAACTGGCTATTGAAAAGCCGCGCCGAACTCCAATTTCCTTCAAATATCTGCAACTTCTTCAAACGTATTACCATCCTGTATCCATTGTAAAAAGTAATGTCCCCTTGAAGTTTTCCAGCGCCATTTTTGCTTGCAACTCTTAAGCCCCACCAACTGAATCGCCTGAGAAGGGGGTCAGGGTCACGCCAGGAATCACACCACGCATTATGCCGAGGTAACACTTTTTCATGTAAAGCATGGTCCCCCTCCATCCCCCTTGCCCAGCACCACAAAATGCACCACGGACTGCTCACTATGACTCTGAAATAAAAAAAAAACAGTCTGTATTCAATACTGACCGTTTTGCTGTTTTTCAAAGTTATTTGTGTAAAACTGTAACACAAAAATCATTGATCGTTATGCTGTAATGAATTTGATTAAACTAATAAAACAGAGAAACCGTATTTATCTTAATACCGTTTGACCGTTTTACAAAACTGTAAAACGACAAAACGGTCAATGGTTTGTTTACTGTTTTTGTTTTGAGGAAATGCAAAACGGTAAACCGAAATAACGGTATGTCCCGGGATTGATAACCCGGGGCCGCGATAACCGCCGCCGCGAAAGGGTGATATCACGACTAACCAATATCGCCCACGGACTTGTCAGAACTAACAACGTCTAGGGAAACTCGTATTGGTTGTGTAATGCGCGCGCACCTCTGTGCAACTTCACTGGGCAGCTCTATTGTTATCTGTAGTATGTGTATAGCACTGAAAATTGACCGTAATTGCCTGCAGAAGTCGCATGCGCATTAGTTTCCCCCATTTGGGGGGGGGGGGAGATTTCAGCGGATTCGCTAGACGTTGTTCTGACAATTCCGTGGGCGATATTGGTTGGTCGTGATAGCGCCTTCTTGCGGAGTTTAGAAGTTTAGATGTTTTTTTGCCATGCATGTATGAAGGCAAAGCGCAGACTGGAGCTGACAATCCTCTTAAGTGTTTCCAACTATATATTAAGACTCTGAGTACGAAGACTGTATGTACAATAGCATAGTGGTACGAGTCATCGTCCACAGACCGCGGGGTCCGGGGTTCGAAACGGACCGTGGTGCATTTTTTTGGTTTTCAATACACGCGCTCAGTCATTTACTTTAAGAGTCTTAATTTCCCGTCGTCAAATACCAACCGACCTTAGCTCAATCAGTTAAGTCACCGGCTGGGACTGTCTGCGAAGTCCAGGTTATGCATCTACTCATAGGTACGGGGCTCTTTTGCTGTCTCGGCAGCAAGGCATAGGGTGTCGCCTCGTTTCCTCCCTTAACGGTGCTTGGCCCTCCGGGGTTACATGGATGGACAGGGAAGGAGGTGTGGTGGGCCGGGGAATCCGAGACCCAGGAAGAGCCCTATATGGGAGTTGGTAACCAATCGCGACCCCTGAATGCTTGGTCAACACCACATAACTTTTTGTTTTTCTTTATCTCATTATTTTTTTCATTGTCGAGGCTTTAGGCCTATAAGGTACAGTAAAAACGAAATCTTCAAAACGATTTTCTTCAAAACGAAATTCGCCATTAGCATTTCTCCAGTTGGGCTACTGAAACAGACTCTTGGTTTTTTTAGTATCTCTTATAAACAAGATTGTACACACATGTAAAACATGTATCCTGATACATTTTTGTCAGTGATTAAAATAAACAGAGCATTTTTTTTACATTAAACAAATAATAAAATAAGACACAAATTGATGCAGGTTTGCTTTCTGAATTGAATGATTAATTTCTTCTGGCAGGTCTTTTCATCTTTGCCATAGCCCAATAATAATCACTGGCCAGCCGGGCTACTTAGTCCTGCCGGTCCCCGATAAAGTCGAACCCTGAATATATGAAACAGCTATATAAACATTTTAGTGTAAACAGAAAATGATCAACGATTACAATGATCATCTCTGCCTGCACGGTTCCCTATTCGCTACTGGGTTGGTGGGAAGCAAATATTGATATAAAGTGTCTTGCCCAAGGACAAATACACTACACTATATCAAGGCTGCTTGTCAGGACCGGGACTCAACTGCATCCAATTCACTCCACTTGGAGTCTTGCTATTGCCCTTTTGCATCCTCTGCTGCACTCCAGCAAGATTAAGGCCCAAAGTGAAGGCCGCAAAAATCTTGACAAAAATAAAGGCTTTTCTACAACTTTGCGGAAAAGCCAAACATTCAAACACGTATAGGTCTATACTATAGGCGAATTCAGCGAAGGGTTGCCTAACGTGGAGGAAAAAATTGACACATTTACTCCGTAAATAAAAATAACTTGACGCAGACATAATTATCATCAAGCGATTGACGCCCTTGACTACGTTACCAAAACAGAAAATTGTTCGCGAACAACTTTTCGCACATTTAACACCAAAACAAACTGCGCTTAGGCTTGACCGTTAAACTTGAATAGCGACCTCAATAAACTCGAAGTCATCACTGTACAAATATTATGTAATCAAATACAATTCTTTCTGATCACAACAGCAAAAAATGTCCCACGTATTGTTTTTATGCAAATTAGTGCCGCCATTACCGAAAAATCTATTTTTAATTATATATCAGCCAATATTGCAGATAACTGAACAAACTAGGTGTCGAAACCCATGTTTTCAAGGTCAGAGATCACAATAAAACTATTTTGGAAGTCACCACATGTGTCTGTGGCATAGGAATATGCAAATTAGTGCCGCTAATACCGGAACATCATGTTTTTGGCATATCTCGGCCAACATAGCACATAACTACACCAGTAAGGTGTCTAAACCCATGTTTTGATGGTCAAGTATCATTAGAA